AATGACTGTAGTTCCAGGATGGATGAAACCGAGTCAAACACAGCGATTCTGCGCGAGATCTTTCTGAGACTTTGGGGCAACGTCGTTGAATGCTGAGGTGTTTAAAGGTTGATTTGAGGGACTTTGTAAGCGTTGTTTGCTTCTGACCATCCTGTTATAGGTTTCCGTCCTTGAACCGTCGTGAAAGATCCTTCGTAATCGCTCTTCTGACAACCTGGTGACGTGGCCTGCATATAACAACTGTGATTTCATCAGCAGAGTGTACATACCCTTGTGAGGACCCCGGTCTCTGAGGCTCTGTTCTGAGTACATACACTTGTAAGTACCTCGGTCTCCGAGGCCCTGTTATGAGTACATACCCTTGTGAGGACCTCTGTCTCCGAGGCCCTATTCTGCCATCTTATCCACATCAGTTTTGTTCGACAGTCAATGTGAAAATGGCTCAGCCTCTTGGCATGTTGTCTGTATCCCGACGAGGGTTTGTAAACATACAGCAGGGTCGGCAACATAACGCTTTTTTCGAAAGCCTCAAGTTCTGTATGTAAACTGCAACATTCGCGCTTATAAGCATTTGCATGTAGTCTACCAAAAGTCCCGATTCATTAAAATTCTTACCTTTGTGTCATCATAGATGTGCACTATAGTGTGACAATGTGCTGCCGATATAGGTGAACGTATCCACTACCACGAGGGTTTGGACATTTACTGTGATGTTATGATCTATATATGATCAGAAACTGTCACAAATTGAAAGAAATAGTACATACTCTGCTGCATGTCAGACTCAGATAAAGCACCCAGGGAACAGTCATCAACAAATAGGAGATCACGAACAGTCCCATCCTGCAAATTCATCTGCGCATGTAGTCCTATCGGACTAAAGAGTCTGCCGTTAGTCAAGTGTCTCATATACATTCTAAACTCACAATCACTGAAGACATTATGATCTGTAGCAACAAACACCATACTGAAGAGAATTGGGGTTAATACACAGCCTTGTGTGACTATGATTACAAGACACGAAAGAGAAAATGTCATCATGGAATTGCTGAACCATCACGAAGAATTTCTCTAGGCAACCAAATTTTGCCATGGTCTTCCAAAAGGCCTTCACGGCAGACAGTTTCAAACAATTTTCAGATCGATAAATTTTATGTACAAGCCGAAGGCCTGTTTCTGATATTTCTCATGGCATTTTTCTTGAATGTGACGAGATGCAAACACTGTGTACGTGTCCCTCATCATTTCAAAAAGCCAAAATGGCTCTCTGGCAGGTGCCCTTGATTGATGCCATACTCAATGTGGTATAGCAATTCGGGCTAGGATTTTGTCGGCTATAGACAGCAAGGAGAAGTCCAGATGGTTGTCGCAGAGTTGTCTGTTGCAATTCCGCCAGTATAGGGGTATATTCCCCGAGTCCATATTGACCGCTAGTATAGGGGTATATTCCCCAAAGTCCATATTGACCGGAAGAGTCCAGACAGTTTATTTGCCATGTGCGATCCTCCGGCTTCGTAGGCCTCAGCTGGTATAGCATTTGTTCCACGTGCTTTGCCAGTTGATAGCAGGTTAATTGCTTTCACAGTTTCAGACAGCTTGAGAGGATCAGTAAGTGAAATGTTAATATACAATTGGAGCAGTATAATTTTCAGTCTGTTAATATCATGGAGTTGTCCGTGTTTATCAATGAAAATGTTAGAGATGACGTATATTCGCTTCGGCGAATCATATAAATTTTGCATGCCATTCCTCTCTGCGTAAATCTGATTTATATTTGCCTTACTGGTCGTTTTGCTCCTTCCTAGGTTTACACTAGACAATAGACCGATATTGTGAAAAACCTCGAAATTCTAAAACGAGGCGCTCACTGCTGCAAAAATTACGAACAAAATACCAGAACCTGAGAAGTATATCGAGTATATATAGTATGGGGATTTACAGTGTTTATCCGTCAAACAATTAGAAAAAAAAACAACCCCTAAATCTGACTAGTATCAGCGCATGGTACCCTAAAAGCGTAATCTATACACAGAGTGAAAGACGTAATATGGTGGAAAAAGCGTAATAGTTAGCATGACCTTGTGTTGAGTACCTTCACACTAATTTGCGTGAAAATGTACGCTTCCGCTTCGAATTATAAAATACAATAATGTTATTTTAATTAAATATTAAAACAACGGTAAAAATGCTGTTCTAAATTACAAAACCAAAACTATAGAAAATAATGTTTTTATTAAATTAAAATACCAAAATCTATAGAATAATGCTACTTTTAATTACAATACTAAATCAACTGAATAGTGAGAGTTTAAATTAAAATTTGTTCAGACAATATCATACTTAGATCCAGGATTTTAAATATAGGTTTACGTAGATGTTTTATGGGTTGAAAATTAAAATTAGTCTGTTAGAGATTAGTAGATCTTATTCATCATCATCGTCGTCGTCGTCGTCATCATCATCGTCGTCATCATCTAACTTGCAGTGATCACAATCAGAACTTAGGGGCCCCCAGTGGTCTAAAGCGCTCTCCGTTACGGATCACTGGCATCTCACCTCTGTCTGCGTGGGTTCGAGTCTAAGATTAGGCGAATATAGATATTTGAGAAAGCTTGCCAGTAGCTTCTCGTGGGTCGGTGATTCTTTCCGCGGATTTCCCGGTTTCTTCCTCCACCATTAATACTGGCCGCCATGTATAGCCTATCGTGTGCTGAAAAATGGCATTAAGCACCAGAACAACAAAAAATAATCATCGTCGTCATCATCATCATCATCATCATCATCATCATCATCATCATCATCATCATGAATCCCTTAACACAAGCGGTCGCTGTGGCACCACATCTGACTTTACAACCAATTCTATCCATCTTTCCTTGTTCTTTACTGCCTTTTGGGTATCTCCAAATTCCATACCTGTCCAATCCCTAATGTTGTCTTCCCACCTCTTTTCATGTCTGCCTCTTCTTCTGCAACCCCGCATTTCAACAATAATTTTATCTGCTTAAGACCTTTGTCTGTTGAGAATTATCTTTATCATTACTTTGCTCGCGTGACTGATCAGACTGAGAGTACTGTTGTTTTAGCATAGCTGTAGATTTCCTTTCTTGGCGAGCACGATGACCAAGGATTGAGTACATGTGGTGGACCATTCTCCTGGCTGTCATATTTTGTTGCATATTGTTGTTAGGGCTGTGACCATCTCTTCTCCTCCTGCTTGATAGAGCTATGCTGGTATCTTGACAACAACGGCTGACTCTCCTTTATTTAGTGATCTAACAGCAAATTCTACTTCTTCACGAAGAATGGACATCAATTTCTTCTACCTGAGGGCAATTTAGTACTGCTGGATCTCCTGAGTCTTAGAATTGTACAATTCTAAGCAGTATTCTGTCCATTGCTATTGATATATACACAACTTGTGACATAAATCCTGTTCACTTGCAAAATCTGCTCCTTTCAAATTTCGTGTTCTGGCGATATTCAGTTCTGTGGAGAAACGTTTTTCTTTTCTTTCTCACCATTATTTAGTCTGTCAGGTTGTGGTGATGTCCATTTGTCATCTCCATCCTGGCGTGTAGCAGTAGGCGTGGTCATTGTTGACCGGAACTTCTACAGATGTAATATGGAAGAATTGTATGTCGTCTTCATGTGGTGTGTCAAGGGCAAGATAAAGGCTGGATGAGCCCATCCCGCTCCAGACTGAATGACCACAGCCGAAACCCACTTGTAGATTGTGACACGACCTGGCCATGAGCACAATGTCGGTGAAAGAGTGATCATTGTTGACCCGGACTGCTACAGATCTGGTATGGAAAAATTGTATGTTGTGTTCATGTGGTGTGTCGAGGGCAAGATACAGGCTGGCTGAGCCCATCCCGCTCCAGACTGAATGACCACAGCCGAAATCCACTTGTATATTTTGACACGACCTGGCCCTGAGCACATTGTCGGTGAGTTCATTGTCGGTGAAGGAGTGGTCATTGTTGACCCGGACTGCTACAGATCTGGTATGGAAAAATTGTATGTTGTGTTCATGTGGTGTGTCGAGGGCAAGATACAGGCTGGCTGAGCCCATCCCGCTCCAGACTGAATGACTACAGCCGAAATCCACTTGTATATTGTGACACGACCTAAACAAAAGGCTTGGATAACAACTTTTTTCAACCGCATCAGCCTGTTTAGTACACCCTGTTTTGCATTATTGTCCTCTAGGCAAAGGGCTTGTGTTTGCAATGTCAGCATCACATGGTGTCAAAAATGACCTTCGGACAATAATATTGCAGGTATAAATTTGGGGTTGGGTGCATAAACTTCTTCTGCTCTGAACTGCCACTGACTTCTCTGGTCAAGTAGATACTATTTTTATGCTTTGTTTTAATATAGGTATCTCAAAATATGGACCTTCTTCACCTCACATGTTTTTCATTTTTTATGATTTTTTTTACTAGGTTACTGATGATTGCAGCATTAAATTTGTACGTAAAAACTGGCCCAAGCCCCATTAAGGAATAATCATATTTTTTTTTATATTTTGTTGTGCTGTCAGCCATGTCTATTATACTTTTCTTTTTTTGTGTATATTTAAATGATTTTTATGCATTAGCTTCATTATATTTCCTTCTTTTTTCCATATATCACGTAGTGTTGTATGTAATGCTCTTTGGCGAGGGAGGTAATTGTTTTATAACTTTGTGAAATCAGGCAAGTAACCTATTACAGCTAAATATCATAACCACCAGACCTATTTTATATTTGCACGTGCTATGGACATCCGTTGTGATGTATTTAGATAAGCTGACGCATATAATTTACCTGTTATATGGGAACCGTTCTACAGTTTCTGAGTGCTTCTGAAAGCGGGACAGGTTTAAAGTGAAGTTGTATGCATTTGCAATAAACAAGGTAAATAGCATTTGGCATGTCTCTATGCTATTCTCATATATTGTGACTGAAATGTATGTACATGGTATTTGACAATCAACCCACTACCTCTAACTGCTCCGGTGGACTAGTGGTTAGAGCGTCCGCTTCGGATGTGGAAAGACGTGGGTTCGATCCTCAGTCGAGTCATATCAAAGACTAACAAAACTGGTACTAACAGCTGCCTCGCCTGGCGCTCAGCATTAAGAGGTTATTGTTAGGACTGGTTGGCCTGGTGTCAGGATAATGTGACTGGGTGAGATATCATGCCACATGTTTGCGGCTTTATGCCCAAGTGTTAAACAAAACTATAAACTGCCACACTGCAGACATCGTAGCAATGTGACTGAAAAAGTGTTAAAGCTACATTAAAAATAATAATAATCACATCACATCACTTCAACCAGCTACTCTGCTCTCATGTTCTCGAGAAGTGAACTAATCAAAAGTACACAACATTAGCAGTAATTAAAATCGGGAAAATGAATTTTACCAGATAAGACCACAAATGACAGTGAATGAATTATAAAATATAAGCGACTAAAAAAGGTGTCAGTCGTATTTTCCCCAATTTACTACTGAAGTCAATGAAGTTCTGAGAGATTCACATCTGAAGTGAGACCAAGCCGTATATTTTATAGTTCAAATAAAGATATCAATCATACACCATAATAAAGGTAAGTAAAGTACATCCCATGTTATGGGATAGATAGTTTCTTTCTTGGTATCTTTAACCCCCAAAGTTATAAAACCTTTTAAGTAAAACGTTTTATTATTCCATAAACAAATTTATCGGGATGCTTAATTATCAGCATATAAAAAATATAATTCAGGGATAAGGTATTCCAGCAGGGTTTAAGAAGCCCATCAAGGTCATAATTAGATATTTAAGTGGGTGGGAGCGTAAGTAGTTGATGGGGGAAAGAGCTCGACCTAATTATATTGAAAACGGGATTGATAACATAAATTAGTACACAGAATTTACCAATCTGTACAAAAGTCGGGTCGGTATCACGTGACCGTTTACAGCCATTCATGTTGTAGAAAATACGGTTTGGTAAACAAGAACGAAATATGAACAAATATCGTCAATTTGACGACGTCATAACGTCAAAAAGAAGTAAAGAGATAACAAACTTGTAAAGCCATGTCAAGGTCGTTTCACTCTACAGCTGCGTCAAATAAAACCCCGCATGATTTGTCACGTGATGATCTTATATTTTGCTTCAATTCAAATCAAATTTATAAAACTAGTACACCAAGTTTAATCTCTTGGTCGCTAAGGTTTCAAAACATAGAAACTATTGTATTTTATTTCAGATGATCACAGATGTAAGATACTTTATTCAATTTGTTTGAAATTCTCTAATCACTCTATCATCATTGATAATGATGATGAAGCTATGTCTAGGCACTCAACTTGAAAAGTCATGAATCCCTCGACCAAGACCAAACAGAATTTCAGATGTCCTGAAACATTGTAACTGAGCTGTATTGTGGTGTTTGGCTTTCGTTTTGCTTTTGATGTTTAGTGGCACATCAGTTCATGAACTTTATGTAGTACCTAGGCTAACCTGAATAAGTTCTTTGCCCAGGGACACACCAGGTATCAGTCTCAGGCTCACCCAATTGTAGGGTGTTGAGGTCAGCATATACTTACTCTATCGTCATACACAAGATAACGTAAGGTCTGAATGTCTTTGTAGGACTAAACGTGTGTGTGTGTGTGTGTGTGTGTGTGTGTGTGTGTGTGTGTGTGTGTGTGTGATTTGGGTTTTAACCTAGCTTAAACAATTTTTCTGTCATATTGCTACGATGTGTGAAGTGTGGCAGTTTATAGTGAAGTCGAGCATTGGAGCATCATGCCGCAAGCATGTCGTATGATGTCCCATCCAGACACCCTGCCTCCAAGCCAACCAGACCTAACACTAACCTCCTTATACTGAATGCTAAGCGAGCAGTAGCAAGTATTATTTTAATAAGTCATTAATATGACTCAGCTATGATTCGAACCCGTGATCTACCGTATCCGAGCAGAAGCTCTAACCACTTAGACCACCGGAGCTCTTAGGAGTAAACATGAAGAAACTTATTCATTTAGGTGTCTTTTCAAACAATGTTAGATTTCTTTTATATTGCAGATAGGTATATAATTTTGATGATTAGCGTTGCAATCGGTCTTTTCTTGAAGGAGGGAGGGGTCTTTTCAGCAAAATAAAAAGACAAACACATTTCACTCGTTGTCTGCTTCAAAATGAAAATGAAAATAACAATTAGTTACAAATTGCAGTAAGATGAACCGATTGCGTATAATGTTTTTTTTATATTTCTTTTTTAATGTGCGTCGTATGGAGGTGTTCTTGAAATGTCTAATCACTAAGTATATATAAATCAAATGGTCATTGATAATATACATTTGGCTGAAAGTATTGAAGTATGAAGATAAATTACCGTGGCTTTGGATTTGTATTACTAAATTCTGCAGCATAATGTATCCACCCTACCACCCCACCCCACCTCTCTCTCTCTCTCTCTCTCTCTCTCTCTCTCTCTCTCTCACACACACACACACACACACACACACACACACACACACACACAAACACACACACACAGACACACACATACAGAATCTTGGCGTAGAAGTTACTATAGCTCCTTGACAAAATTATTATTCAAGTAAACAAAAAGGCGTAACCATGTTGATTTGGGACAAGGTTTGGGGAATTCCAAAGTGAATTTTATTGTGTATTATGTTTTAGAGTAACAATGCTCATTAGATGATTCAAGAAAGTTATTTTCCATTAGGTAATGGTTGTTTTTAAAAACCCTAATTGTGAAATTGGGGTCATGCAGAGAACTAAATTATCCTGTGATTGTGAAGATTTTTGTATTTATTTGTATTTAATTAGCAGAACTGTAAGTTCCTTTTTTTATCATTTTTTACTTTGTATTCTAGGGAAATAAAGATTTTGTTAAATTTTACAAAGTTTGTAATCTTCAATCTTTCCTGTTGCTAATTTTAAGAACATAGATTCGTAACAATTATTGTCATTGTTGTTGTTGTTGTCATTATTATTATTATTATTATTATTATTATTATTATTATTATTATTATTATTATTATTATTATTGAAGTCTGGTGTTAATATTGCAAATAACACTACCACCGTGTCAGTTATGAAACAAACTCAACCACACATACATTTTTATTATTGAATAAATAAATAAATTAAACAATAAATAAATAAATAACCTTTTCCAACTTAAGTAATGGAAAGTGCGAAACAACTATCTAACTTACAAAAACTAATGTTATCATATCTACTCATAGATTAATATTTTTATAGTTATTGTCAGCACGCTGTATTGTAACTGGAGTGAAGAATCGACAGCTCTCTTGATAAAGGGAGGTAACCGCACCGCCATTGCTAATCTGGTTCCCTGACCTCTCTCCACTACATTGCACTTCGTTATAGAGCGACATAGTGGAGAGAGAGAGAGAGAGAGAGAGAGAGAGAGAGAGAGAGAGAGAGAGAGAGAGAGAGAGAGAGAGAGGTCAGGGAACCAGACTAGCCATTGACAGCATATACATACAATGACTTTGAGGTTTAACTACACGCCATGAACTCGGGGACACAAAATGAATTCAGAAACACGCCAAAATAAATGGGAAGATAGGAGAAAAAAAATCAAAACCATAATGTCACCACCATCAACATCCTGGATAATATTTTAAACATTTATACTTTTTAAACGCGAAAATACCCAATGTAAACGAACGTGTTCCGATTGAGTTAATTATGTAACCAAATAGGATACTAAACCACTGTACCCAATTGTGTACATACGAAATAACTTCTACACGAGCATAGCTGTGTGTTAAACCACATTATAAATTGAAACAATACTTACGTTTTAAATGCATTACGCTCCAGATTTATCATAAGCTCTTTTATAATTACTCACCAGCTTTAGCTTCAATTGTGGGAATAATGAGATACTCTGTCTGTAACTCCATACTTTAACCAACTTAGTAAATGTTCCCCAAAAATCAATCTTATCCATATGTATGAATGGATCTGTTCATATTGTTAAGAATAAGGCAAGAAATAACTTGGTTTTGCCTTAGATCTATTTTTCACCTTTATTCGTTGTGCAGATGTACAACGTTAGATGGTGGTGAATCATTGTTTCTCCAGATGAGCGATCCTGAAACTTCATGCGACGGGAGTCGCGAAAGGCATGGCATACATGAGTATTTCACCATGACTATTATTCATTTTCCTATGGATTTAATCTTGATTAATTTCAAAAGGAGATACAGTTCATTTGGATTTTGCCAGGGAGCGAACGTTTTCCATTATGTTCTCCGGCCATATGGGTAAGTGTTAAATTTACTTTTTATTTGATTTACGAAACCTTTTCTCGATATTATGTTATATCGGGTAATGAAGCCATTTACGTTGCGAACTTAGCTATTACAGTTTAATTTATGAGTATGTATCTAGCAATTTAATTCATAACCAATTATTATAACCAGTTTATTGTAGCTGTCTGTTTAGGGCTGACAGTAGCTATTTAGGAGTGGGCGTAGCTGCCCATAGAATAGCGTGTTGTCCGTACGAATGTGTATCCCTGTTTAGAGTTGAGCGTAGCTGTCCGTAGTGCAGTAGGCTGTCAATATGTATATGTATAGGTAAGATTGTGCATATGGTGGAACCACGAATATGGACGTAACCAATACAAGGGTGCCGGGTACCATCTGTACGTATAAATACTCGTGGTGGATACGTGGAGGGTGTGAGAGGTCGATAAATGTGGGTCAATCCTAAAATCCAGTGAAACTGTTGTGGTGTAACAATTTGTGAATTGTAGGGTTCTTCAAGTTTTACAGTGATATGATTGTTTCAATTGAATGTGTTTTAAAATGAGTACAATATTTTTTGCATTACATGAGATTATGCAAATCTCGCTTTCATTGTTACATTACATGAGTTTATGTGAATCTCGCTTCCATGGCATTCATTGTTTATTTGATACTTAATGTTTTACATACACGAGATCATGAGAATCTTACTTATATTTCGTGATATTAGTGGAAATATTTTTACAGTCCGTGAAGTTATTTGAATGTCTGATTTTCATGG